ATCCTCTGCAACTCCAGCTTGTGGACCCACACGACCTCGACCTCGACCTCACCTTCGACCTCAACCTCGACCTCGACCTTGACTGCTCAAACTCACAGGGTCACACCACTCACTTACCTGCTATAATTCCCCTCGGGAATTAAAGACCTAGGCCAACTATACCAGTCTAAAGCCTTAGGCAGCGAATCACAATAATAATTCACTAAGCAGGCAACCAATCACAAACAACACCCAATCACAATCAACAAAGTTCGTGCACTTACCTCAAGTCCTGACACACCTGCATCTCACACAGTCTGGGGTTCGCATGGCACACAAGTCTCCCTAACTAACTACCCCAAAGTCATCGCTCCTTATCACTCCAGGCTTCGACCAACTTGGATCGAGCTGACCTTGCTCTGATATCAAATCAACCTGGGTGTCACGCCCCGAACCCCAACGGGTTCATGACACCCCTTCAACGGTCGTATTGAACGCGACGTCCGAGGACACGTCGGCGACCCAAACGAAACACCCAACGATAAAAGCAAGCGGAAGCGAGATTAAATAACCCAGACAATAATTAATGACAAAGGGATAGCACAAAATAATAATTCCAAATACACAACATCAAAAGGGAACAGTGGTTGGATATCCTACTTCGCTATACAAAAGAGGGGCACACAGAAATATGGGGTAACTTGACCGTCCTCCATCCCCGAGATGCCCTGGTGGCGTCTCCAATCAATCACGGTCGCGGATCTGAAAATGGTTATATAATAACTGTGAGAATAAGTCTCAATAAGCAACACCCTAAACCCCACCTAGGCCAATGCGTACCCAGACGAGTATCAACATGCAATCTAACAACCGACGAACTAGAATTTACAAATACATACTTACCTCGCCTCAAATCACACGCCAACTCTGCACGATAGTCAAATCACATTAAATGCATCCAGCATAACATATATTCAGAGCACACAAGGAAATTTCCCACACACGGAAATTTCCCACACATCATACAACAACACTTGCGCGTATCTCGATTATAAGGTAAAACCACTTGGGCACGTCTCATACCATGCCTAGCAGTATTCACCCCATAATCAAACACTATGCAACATGCGTGGTCCAACCAACTTTCTCACGACCTCCCAGGTCCTTTCACACTGCCCGCGCCACTGCGCCTCATGCCCAATCTCACAGCCCGCGCTACTGCGCCTCAGGCTCAGCCCTCCGATCAATCCGGGCTCTGTCCCGGGTCAACACCACACAGGACCTTTCAAAAAAAAACTTTCACACGACCCGGGTCAACACCCCACAGGTCAGCCCTCCGATCAATCCGGGCTCTGTCCCGGGTCAACACCCCACAGGACCTTTCAAAAATAAACTTTCACACGACCCGGGTCAACACCCTACAGGTCAGCCCTCAGATCAAGCCAGGCTCCGTCCCTCACTGGACATTTCATACTTTCCCACGACCCGCGCTACTGCACCTCAGGTCAGCCCTCAGATCAAGCCGGGCTCCGTCCCTCACTGGACATTTCCCACTTTCCCACGACCCGCGCTACTGCGCCTCAGGTCAGCCCTCAGATCAAGCCGGGCTCCGTCCCTCACTGAACATTTCACACTTTCCCACGACCCGAGCTACTGCGCCTCAGGTCAGCCCTCAGATCAAGCCGGGCTTTTCTCATGCACATGCACCATAACACAAAATTCACAATTTCCTCAGTCGTATAATTCAAATTCAAATCAACACGCTTTCACCAATATCAATCGGACACGCCATAACAGTCAATTCAACTCACACTGCCCACATCGGCCCACCGACCCGACACTCAAGTCGGCACATTCAATTAATCCAATTCACCCACAAGCGCCACGACAATTCAGTCATGCTATTTATCTCAATCAATCACTAAATTAGCCACACAATTACCACAACAATAAATCACCGATTAAGCACAATCAATTTAACTAATCCACGCCTAATTCAATTTCCTAAGCCGGTACTAATTTACACCCTAAACAAGTCTAAACATGCCCAAAGTACTAAGTAGGGTTTAGGAAGTCACTTACTAGATTTTGGCTCGAGAAAAGTCGGCTCGGGCCTAAAATGGCCCGGGTGAATAGTGTTGGATTAGGCGCGGGCCAAACGGGCGCGCTGGCCGGCCAACACGGGCACAACGGCCGGACGGTGTGCCTGGCGCACGGGCGCGGTGGCCGTGCAGCATGCCTGGGGCGCACGGCCAAGCGGGATGGGTGACGCGGCGGCGACGAGCGGCGGCGACGGCAGCGGGCAGCTGCGACGGCGACGCGGCGGCGACGAGCTTAAGGAGAGGTGGAGGTCGGTCGGGGCGGCGAGGGCGAAGGAGAGAGGAGCTGGGGCCGAGGGAGGCGACGGCGGCGAGCTAGACGGGCGAGCTAGCTGGCGAAGGGGACGGCTGGGCGAGCTGGCCGGCGGCTTGGCAAAGCTTGGCCTCGTCGGACGCGGCGGTGAGCTGAGCTGGGCAGGGGCGGGCTCGGCTCGGCGAAGGAAAATAGGGGAAGGAGAAGGAGAGAGGGGGGCTCGTGGCGACGATGGCGCGGTGGTCTGCGGGTCGAGCGGCGTCGACGCGCGGTGGCCAGGCGAGCTCAGGCGGACGGCGTCGGGCAGAAGCGAGCAGAAGCGGAGACGAAGCATAACTAGACGCGGCGGAAGAAGGAAGGAGAAGAAGAAAAGAGGAAAAAGGGAGAGAGAAGGGAGGAGAGAGAGAGAGAGGGGACGTTTGCATGGGGGAAGGGGGAGGGGACGTGCTCGGGCAGAGGACAGACACGGCAGAGAGGAGAGAGGAGAGAGAGAGACATCAAAAGTCAACATCTCACTCGAGCGTGATCCAACGGACATGGTTCAAATCGAAAAACGATCTAACGGTCCGTAATAACCCTAATTAACAATTTAGGAAAAAGGGTCAAAATAAAATAACCCAAAACACACTACGAGGGAGGTCTACTAGTCCAAATTCGCACCCGGTAAAAAATCCACTTTTCACATATTCCGGGTAATACCGACGCTGGCCACAATAATATCGACACTGTCCAATTAAATTCGTCCCGGAACTCCGAGAAATTCGATACCAAAGTTTGGGCTCTAAATAACGGTCAAATTCGATCGAGTGCGATTCTAGCGAAATTTCTAATTTAAAATAATAACCAAGAGTGATCAGTTCCCGGGCGAGATTTTATTATAAGCACACTGACGAATTAGACGTTTTATAAATCCCAAAAAATGGGCCGAAATTCGGAATGTCACAGTGCCCGGTTCTACTGGATGACCGCCAACCTAGGGTTTGGCCGTGGCTCTAACGGGTGTCCCCAATTTGGTAATTGGAAGTCGTCGCTGGTAGCAGGGGAGATGTAGTCATTTGCGAATCGGATTTGGAATGAACCCATTTATGGGATATGTCGTCATTGTGGTCGGGTGAGACGATGCCGTGCCCGATGGGGTGCGACGATGCCCGGTTATACCGGAAGACCGCCAACCTGATGCGAATATCGCAGGTTGTGCCGTGCCCCAGGTGTGGCTGTAGTAATCGGAATACGCGTGAAAGATTGTGGTGGCATTGTGCTTGATTATGGGATGAAATTGTGAGGCACGGTATGGGACGGGCCGAAGCGGTTTCGCCTTATAATCGGGACACGTGTTGATGTATTGTGCATGGAAAAGTTGTTGCGTATTCTGATTACATTATATGCTTGTTGAATTATGATTGTATATGATGTTATAACGTGTAGGGCGTGTGCCAAGGCAAAGTAAGGTTACCTACGATTGTGTGATGGCATCTTGTGTACGTTGGGCTGAGTTGCATGTTTTAGGTGCATCCGAGATGAGTTGACCTCCTAATCGAGACTTAGGTCATTAACTCGTTGAGATTTATCTCATTGTTGTTGTTTAACCATTTTCAGGCCCTAAGTGATGAAAAATCGCCACGTGCAATTTTGGGGTCCCTGTTGACCGGGACTAGGAAGTGACTAGGTACCCGTTCGAGGAGTTAAACTTCTTTTGAGGTCACCTCGTAGGTAAAGGAGATAGGTTAACCCCCTACCTTTGTGGTTGTAATCGGGAAGGTCCACGTGGCGGACTTGTAATATATTAACCCGATGTATTGCTGATGATATTGTTTAAATTGAAGTGTGTTTTCCTTACTATCCTGTTTATTGATTGTTGTTGGGTGAATTAAGTTCGCTTCCGCATGCGTTTAATTGTAAAGGATTTGATTGGGTCGGTGATGTGTCTTGGGACGTTGCCATTTCACGACCTTTGACGGGATGTTAGCGCGCTCGTGGGTTAGGGGCGTGACAGTTACTCTGCCAACCGTGCTTTCACTGTGAATGAGATCGAGCTGAACTTCATGTTCGACGTGCTCTACACTAAACGCCGAAGTCGACCTAATATGCCGCTTAATTGGCTTCTTCTGCTTGGTGTCTGCCTTGTGTAGCTTTGCCATGATCTTAAAGAATGCCTTCTTGATCGACATGTACATCACCTATACCTACGCGTTACTGATGGCAGTCACATCTCTCGAGCTTTATCATATCACGACGTTGGCATTTTCGGATTGGGCAGTGGTGAAGATGAGTATGAACCTTAAGGTGCCGCTTGTCTCAAGCTCCTCCCGTTTCTGGCTGATCATTGCATAAAGAAGAAAAGATGGTCGAGGTCGATAGGGTAGCTCAATTTGTTAGACCACCGCCGCTTATACAGAGAACCGCCGAAGCCCATCCGCTTGGTACTTAATTGGTTTGGTAAAAGGGAGATCTTCAGTTGTCATTGGTTACACAACCGCCCGGCCATCCCCTCGTCCCTCGAGATGCTGGTGGTTCAAAAGATGACGAAGCTAAAGGAGAAACGAAACCTCCGGCCCTTCACGGAAAGAGGCAAGTGGACGCTTGAGATTCACAGCATACAAGAGAAACAAGGACTAAGCGGTAGCATCGAGACGCCATTCAATAGGAGCATCATTATCTGACACATCGCAATGGAAATCCTGCACATATTGGAGAGTGAGAACTCCAATGCTTGTAGAGGAAGCAAACTCCTATCGAATTACATGATATATCTCTTCGCTCTGCATCCTTACATGTTGTCCCTCACCATTATCGACGTCACGCTGAAGTACGCTTGTTGCATACTGAGGCCTTTCTTGAGGTACCGAGACTATGAAGAAGAAATTAGCACACTGTCGTCGCCGGATGGAGATGTCCCACACCCCGTCAAACCAAGTAAGGAGACGAGCATCACTAGCGACTAGCACTTGTTGTGGGAGGTGCAGAAGCGCGTGGTCGACCTGAGGTCGATGGACAACAAGTGGGAGATCATCAGCAGCATCTGGGTGGAGATGCTGTGTCCTGCAGCATACAAGTGTCGAGTGTATTACCATGGCAAGCGACTGAGAAGAGGCGGTGAGCTCATCACTCGTGTGGCTCCTCTTGGCTCACAAGACCGACAAGTACCCATATAAAAATTCTAAAGATTGCCACGAGCTCCCCGAAATCTCCCTCCTCGGAAAAGGGTTCTTCTAGTTGCTTCGCGAGGATTTTCAGGAAGAGAGATGCCAAAACTTTCTATGGCAGAGCTAAATGATGTGGCATCATCAGGCACGGTTGGAAGAGATGCTAAAACTCTAAGCACTACTTGGCGGTATCACATGGTATTCAAATAAAAGGTCTTTAAAACAAATCTTTTCGGACTCCTCATTTACATTCCTAATAATATAATTTTCATGCTTTATTAGGCAAAAGTCTAAACTACAAATGGAATAGATCATTATAATATTTAAATATTAGATCGTGCCTTTATTTACTAGTATAAACTTTTAGAACGTGTGAAATTAATCTCACAAAGTCACACAATTCAGACACTAGAGGTGACCTTGTCCAATTAATAAGAAGTAAAAATCTGCAAGGTAGTGTTTCGATACACATTTAGCATTTCTCATTCAAATGGCGTGCTCACATTCGTCTTTGTAATCAATTTATGTTGAAAAACATATGTTGTCGATCCTGCAATTAATTTATGTAGTTTGTAAAAGAACGTGATTGTGAAATTATTCTAATGATATCTTTTGCTTTTTATCCTATTTATATAAGCAGCTTATGCATGTACATTTGTTCTGTGTGATAATCTGTTTGCTTTCCTATAGTATTGCTCACAAAATTGTTGACATGCTCATCAAATGGATCGGATGAACTCGGTTACTTGATGATGTTCACAAAATCACATGAACGTACTGGAGGGAAAATTACCAAAAAAGTCCTAAATCTTTTTGTAATTGTGTCAATTCAGTCTTAAATCTTTTTTTTTTGCCAATTCAGTCCTAAACCTTTTGCAATTGTGCCAATTCAGTCCATCCGGCCACTTTTGGCCGGTCGGCTGACGTGGCAATATTTTAATATTTTTTTTAGAATTTTTTTTATTTTGTTGACTTTTTTTCTCTTTCTTTTTTTTTCCCGTATCTTCTTCCCCGGTCACCGGTCCGGCGACCGGCGAGAGGCTAAGGACCTTGCCAGCACTGGCGAGGGCAAGCCTCACCGTCGTTGGGCGAGGTCTCGCCAGATCTGGGCAACCTCGCTGTCGCCGGGCGAGGTTGACATCGCTAGATCTGGACGAGGCCTCGCCCGGTCATGGCGAGGTCAACCTTGCCCGGCGACGGCGAAGCCGCCCAAATCTAGCGAGACCTCGCAGTCGCCAGGCGAGGTCAAGCCTCGCCATGGCCGGGCGAGGTCGACCTCGCCCGGCGACGGCGAGCTCTTGCCAGATCTGGGTGGCCTCACCCAGCAACGGCGAGGTCTCACCAGATCTGGGCAAGGCCTCGCCCGGCGACGGCGAGGCTCGCCCTCGCCAGTGCCGGCAAGGGCCAACCTCGCCCATGGCCGGCGAGGTCCTCAGCCTCTTGTCAGTCACCGATCGCCGGACCGGGGAAGAAGATAGGAGAAAAAAAAGTCAACAAAATAAAAAAAATTCGAAAAAAAATAAAAAAATTATTAAAATATTGCCACGTTAGCCAGCATCCACGTCAGCGCCGGCCGCCAAAAGTGGCTGGATGGACTGAATTGGCACAATTGCAAAAGATTTAGGACTTTTTTGGTAATTTTTTCACATACTGGATCACCAAATCTAGTCGGATCAAACAGTAGGAAAAGAGAATATGTTTCCTCCTTATACGCATTTTTTTTATTAAGTCCTTTTATTTTTAATTTGTCTAATCAAGTTCTCATAAATTCACAATTTTTTTAATTAATCAAGACCTTCTGCACCAAATCCGGCAAAAGCCACAATAGATCTAAAAATCCATTCTTGTCCTTTAAATTGCCCATGTTTTTGTCAAAGGTCAAATTTCTCAGTTTCAACGAAAGAGTCAACCTTTGACTTACGCATGAAATTTTAGACTTAGACTCCTCAATCTATATGCAATGATGGAAGGGTGAAAACGCCTATATGCATTGTTATGATATTTTCGTTCCAATAAAGGTTGACTAAAAGTCAACCGAAAAGTCAATTTTTGACTTATGAAATGGCACCTAAATACTAGGGGTGAGCACGGTTCCAGGTAGAACCGAGAACCGAAGAACCGAACCGGCGGGTCCAATTCGGTTCCCGGTTCTAGGGTGGGAGGTTTCGGTTCCCGGTTCTAAATTTTTAGGAACCGTCGGTTCCGGTTCCCGGTTCCTATAGGAACCGAACCGGAACCGGACCCGGAACCGGAACCGACCCTCTCTCTCCTGCTAAAAACCCTAACTCTCTGAGTTTCTTCCCAAATTTCCCCTCGCTCGGTTACTCTTCCATTCCGCTCTCTCTCCCACTCCCCACACCCACGACTCGACGAGACCCTCTCGCCTCTCCTCGCTCCGTTCGGCGTCTGCCTCGGCTCTTCCTCTGTCTTCATCAACCGCGGTCTGGCTCGTCCGCGACGGAGGTGGGCTTCGCTTCACGGCTTCAAGCAACATCGTTTGTCTTCGTCTTCGTTCAGGCTCACACGCCGCCGCACGCGCACCCTCTTGAGCTCGCTGTCTCGGCTCTTCCTCCTCTCGTCTCTCCGCAAGATCGGCGTCGCTTCTCGCCGGACGTGGTTCCTCTCCGAGCAAGGTTCGTGTCAGCCTCCGAGTTTGAAAAGAAAACCGGTAACGCGCTTGTTCTTTTTCTTTATTTGGGTTGCGCTCGGGGGAGGGGATAGGGGGGAAGGAGGGTTGGAATTCAATTATTCAACTTCTGAATGTTTCAGACCCCAGACCCAAATCCACAGAACAAATACTTCTACATAAGTTACAGAGATTTATTTCTGATTTGAGCAGAACTGAAGAATAGTACTTGCAATTTTTATGTTGTTTGGGTGTCTATTGGGACTCTGGGAACGCAAAGTAGACATTACTATGCCAGAGAGCGTACATAAGTCATTCCAAAAAAACAATGAGCATACTCATCCGGTATCCAACATCTCGGGGAAGCAACTGATTGTTTCTGTGTTTTTTTCCAGATTCCGTTCGATTGTGCTACTGTAGAGGTTTCTCTGAGCATTGATTCGGGAGGAAACTTGTAGCTTGCAGACATAACTTCCTAGTTGTTTGCTTGGCCAGTGTTGTTTGTTTGATTCGGGAGGAAAATATTTTGAGTGTGTCTTAAGCCTTTGGGTTTGCAAATCCTTGCCAATCTTCCTTGGGTCATATCTGCTCTGCTTTCCTTGTATTAGATGTGCTTTAGTATTATTAGAATTCTTCGGTTTTCTTGTTGAGCATCAAAAGATTTTAAAGTGTTGATGGTGTCTTATAGTGGCATATGGCTCATTGGTTTGTATGTTTTAATTGAACACAAATGTTACAAGAGCAGTTTCAATCATCATTACCTTTGCGTTCACTGAAAATTCTTTTTCCTTTCATCTTCATTCTCATCTTCTTTTATTCTCCTGGTGCGTGAATTTGGGAGGGGGGGGGGGGGGGGGGAAGGATGGGACATATTTGAGGCTTGAGAGTTGAGCAAAAGAGATATGCAGCGATGAAAGAACTAATACTGAAGCAAGGACATCATATGTTACTCTTAATGTTATTGCTAAAGTCCTTCATAGTTGTCTATGAACTGCATAAATGGTAGCAACTGACAACTCTAATATAAAAGATATTTGACTTTTGCAGCTCAGAGAGAAGATATTGGATAAACAGCTACACAGTTTGCTGGAGCAATTGGTAGCAAAGCAAGTAATTTCATTGTTTAAGTGATGTGCACTTCTTCCTACATAAAAAATTCAGGCAACTTTTCTGGAGGAAGACATTAGAAGTCGTTCTGTTAATTGTAGGCCCAAGCAGAAGCCTTGGTGAGTGAAGTTCATCAGAAAGAAAAGGAACTAGAGGGGTTGAGTGGGCTGTGGAAGAGGCTGGAGAGTAATTCTTTGGAGGTGAATGCTACGAGAAACCGGTTTGGAAGAAGCATATTTGACAAGGTTCTGCTTCTTCAGATTACATAGTTGACGTGCAACACAAACCCCTCTTTACCATTGGCCGATGGGACAGCCTGCAGAGGCCAGCTCTGCTGAGGTTGGGTTTTGTGCTTTATATTTTAGCTTTGCAGATCCTAGTCTTCCTCAAGATTTCCTTTTAAGAGAGTTTTCTGGTTTCCTGCGGAATCAGGTCTGATACTGTCCGTGACTCACCAACTGATTCTTTAAGAGTTGCTAGAGATAACGGGCTTGGGAATGCTGATGTTGGCGTTGGAGGATTTTCCGACAGTAAGGTTACCCTATCTTTCCCCTTCAATTGGTATTGGGCAATTATAGTTTAGTTCTATTCAGGCATTTGTAAACTTGGCATTATATCCCCTGAATATCACATCAGGGCATTGTGTATGTATCATTCAGATGATCTACTATTGCGTTTATTTTCGTTTTGTTTAATTCAAAACAAAATTAAAAAAAAAAAAACCTATTGGAACCTGGAACCGACCCTGGAACCTGTGACAGGGTAGGTTCCAGGTTCCATGTTCCGACGGGTAGGTTCCAGGTTCCTCATTTTGAGGAACCTGTACCCGAGGGTAGGTTCCAGGTTCCAGGTGGAACCTACCCGGAACCTGGAACCGCTCACCCCTACTAAATACTACTGAAATGGAGTGAACCTAACTTATATATCTATATAGGACGAATGAATGCAGAATTTGACTATTTTTGGTTGAAGGATTGAGCCCTAATGCAATCATAGTTCTCAAATCTCAAAACTTTTTTTTTTTTCGGGATGCAAGTTTGACTTGTCGGCGTAATTTAGAGGTCAACATCTTTTACATGGCGAGACACGATTAACTGCGGTATTCCTACTTTTAATTTTCTCGTTAGTTGCGCTTCTAGTCCAAGAATCAATAAAGAACCATACATATTCTTTGTCGATTTTCATATCGATCGAAAGTTTTTTCGTCGACGCTTTTCGGTGAAAACAAGCCTCCTTATAATTTACAAGTGTTTGATCTCGTCAACTAACTCTATTTGTCTTTAATCTAATCGTTCTACTACACTCTCTAACATCCCTTCTATCCTTTTACTTCACTCAGTAATTCTAACAGCAAATAGATATTAAGATTTTGTTGTGTTGCTGTAGCGTTTGCTGCTTGCATCCGGACGTTGAACTATATGGTCAAAACCAGTAGTAAAACTTTTATCTTTGTCCGCCAAGTCTTCCGATGTTATTAACAACCTAAGGTATTATTTGCAGATGCTCCTGCAAAAGCAAACAAAATATTTCTGCTGTGATCGACTTTCGACATGGATCATGGCGCGGATTGGCATTTTCTGCATCCTCACTTTCTGCATCCTCGCAAAAGAAAGCGAGAGGCTTTTAAATTCAGGCCCAACTATTGTTAATTTTTTGAAATCACCCCAGTAAGCACAACACACAGTTGTGATTATCTATTATGCTCAAGACAAACAGACCATTGTCTTGTCATTCCGAATTCTGAAAAATGATTTCCTTTTTAAAGAATCGAAAATTATTTTCCAAAATATGACTAGGCATAGGTACTTGACCTGAAACTTTATGCTTGGGCATAGAAACTGGTTCTCGGGTCCTTAGTGTTTAGGACCAAGTCTCCAAGGCCGGGCCAGGGTCCATCAAGGCCAGGCCCATGACCCCGGTGTCTATGCCTGAATCCCGAGAGTCCATGCCTAGGTACATCGAAGCCGAGACTGGGACCTTGGTGCCTGTACCAAGGCCCCTGGCACCCGCACTCGAGTCCATCTAGGTCGGGCCTAAAACCCTGGTGCCAGTGCCCAATGCCCTAGCACCTGAGTTCGGGTCCACAAAAGCCGAGCGTGGGTTCTCGGCACCTAAGCTCAAATGCCCAACATCAGGGCTCAGGTCCACAAAGGTTGTGTCCGGGTCCACAAATGCCGTGCCCGGGTCCATCAAGGCCGGGCATAAGACCCCAATCCTCGTGCTTGGGTCCATCGAGGCCGGGCCTAGGACCCTAGAGCCCGTGCCCTGATCCTAGCGCCCTAGTTAGGGTCCATCGAGCTCGAACTCACAACTTTATTGCCTATACTCGGTTCCTCGGCTACTCTTCGCAAGTTATTAGCGCCCGAATAGTATATGTCTATTTTGGAAAATCAAATTAGAATTTCCACACCAAATGGCAAAAAATATCTTCAAGTCAAGTTTGGACCAAACACCGGAAAATATTGTCATTTTCATAAAAAATGACTTCCTAGGAAATATTTTCCAAAGATGCCACATTTTTTGCGAAACAAACGGAGTTTTAGTGGATGTTATAAGTTCTTATAGAAAGCCTTGGAATAAATTTTCTAAACACGAAGGATATATTTGTTTTGCGGAAAACCAGGAGTTCGAAAGTATCTCCTCATTTTCTGTCATTTTGGCATCGCTTTAAAAATATATCAACAAAAATTATTTTTCATGAAGAACAAAAATCTGTTTTTAAATTCGAAAAATGATTTACGCTTTTAAAAGATTGGTATTCACTTTCAAGGATCTAACTTGACCTCCACCATTGCTAGGGTCATCCCATTCGTAACAAGTCGAGACTTGGGTCAGATCGGACACCCCAGCTCCTGAACCTAGGACACGAGGGGCCTCATCTGAGATCCCAGTACACTAACCGTTGTCTGACCTCTAGGATCTTGAGTACGGGGCTCGGGGTCCTGGTCTGGCGCTTGGATGCTTGGTACCAGGCTTGAGTTCCCCGGTCCTGCCACCAAGGCCTTGATAATTGCGCAACAGACCTAGGTTTTTATTTGTCTTAAACACAATCTAAAGTTTGTCAACACCAAACTTCCAATAATGATTTTCATCTCATTTGAAAAATCCTACCAAACACAAGAAAATCAAATTATTGTTCTTGAAAATAATTTCCTTATGAAATATTATTTACCAGTCATGTTAATTTTTCCGGGAAACAAAACGGACCTAAAGACTCCCTGCAATTTCATCAAAAACCGAGGTTAGTGTTAGAGTAACCTATCCTTAGCCTAATCCCAATAGCTAAAAAAGCAGAATAGGACGAGAATCACGTGTAACCTTAAAGATAGACAGCGAAGCTTCCGACATGGCCAACCAAACAAAAGACAAAGAGCCTCAGACGAAAGTTGCAAGCAAAGAATCAACCCATGCCGCTTTTTATTCCATTTTCCTTTTGTCCTTATAATTCCTCGCATTTCTTTTTCTTACTTAATAAATGGAGGTTCCACAAAAGTTCATTGCTATCAAGTGTTAAGACACAAGTGCTCTGCTACCTAAGGCACATTATGTTTCTAAGGACAAATCTCTTTGTTGCTTTTCTCTGCTTCAGTTTCTCCAATTTTTCCGATGTCAGTGTCAGCATCTTCTGAATAATACTTCTGGGATTCATCAGCCCTCAAGTTCAGGTAGAAACTCTGCGATAGCCATTTCTGTACATTTGAAAGTCTTGCATTGCATTACATTGCACCTCTTTCTTTCCTGTTACTTTAGCTAGCTTGCATTTGCTTATTGCGCCTACTAATCCATACTATTTTTAGGGTAAAAGGTTTGTACGCACTCTGCGCTTTGGATGTTACAAAAAGTGATTATCGTACTTTAATTTGGTGGTCAGCACACTTAACCATACTCTATACAAGTTACACCACTTGTTTAGTTTTCTTCTATGCTCATTTTCTAACTGGTGAAAGACCTACCTGGAGAAATTATGACCCTTCTTCTTCCTTCACAACCGGTCAATTTTGACATATAAAGATTCCTATGTCTGAAAATGTATAGCAAACATACTATTAAATGCTATCTTTTCTATGTGAATGGCATTTCAGGAATCTGCAGGATGTGCAATGTGATAGGATTAAAGGAATTATTTTGGGAGTCGTGAAACCTCTTCTACTTAAATTTTCAAAAATCCAACCTGAGAGCAGTGGCACCTAAAGTCATCTACTCTAAGTATTTTGGTGAACATAGTAGAAGGCCATTGAATAGTTGACATGTGGCCCTCTCATTGTGTGAAACATCTTTTCTATCACCTTTCACAAAGCTCAAAAGTAATAGAACTCTCAAAATTAGAAAAGAAGAAAAGCCTTGGTTCATGGAGTCGACACAAAATTACAAAGAGTTTCTTTCGTGACTAAATACTAGGGTGTATAGTAGAATCTGTGAAATCTGCAGGCCCTCAAGCATGATCCAATAGGTTCCGGGATAGATAGTAGAGCACGTGGAGTGGGTTCCAATTCCAAAATTTTGGAACAAATGAGTGTTGGTAGGTTTAAGGGTTTGGGGTCATATCATCCTGAACCCTACATCCTGTAGCTTTTGTAGGGTACCTTCGTAATATTTCCCTATGAAATTTTGCCTATTTAAATGTGCAAAAGCTCTAAATGGTCCAACCTCATTTGGAAAACAATTATATATATATATATATATATATATATATATATATATATATATATATATCTCTGAGTGTGTGTGCACAAGCTTTGAGTTTATGTTCTCAGTAGATGGTGATAGGTTTCCTCTCAACTCATGAATTTAAATGATATAGGTGGAACTTGATTTTTATTTTTATTTTTGATGTTCTCAACATTTTAGTGATATGTTAATATTAGATATGAACCTGAATTTTAACATGTAACCCATTTATATGTTATGTTTGAATGTTTGAATGTTCAGTGAAACAATATGAAAAGGTACAAGATAGTATGAGGTATCCAAGAACTCGTGGCAATGACAAGTTCCGGATTCTAAGGTTCTATGGTAGGGAAAATACCCTACCCATCCTGAAACCTTCTCACCTCTGTAAATACTCCTGTAGCACCTCTCCTCCACCTTTTTCCTTCTTTTTCTTCTTAAATCTATCTTGAAAGTACTTTGAAAAGCTAATATATGAAAACTAAGGTAGCAGCTCTCCTCCACTTTTGCACGGCGCTCACTTTAGTGGCATAAATTTTCATTCGATCATTTTAGTATTATAACTTTTAGAAAGCATTAACCTTAGAACTACAATTTGTTTTCCCAAGTAACCTAATTGGAGCGAGCATATGTAGTTTATCATTCTGAAAAAATAAGGAAAACTCAAAAGAAGGTGGACGACTAACGGCACAAATTTGTCGAAAAGCTTCTTCCCATCTCACGATGCGAGAAGAGTGCCACTTTCCTAGATAGTTAAGATCTACCTGAACACAACAAAAAGTGAGGAAAGAAAAAAAAAGGTGTAACAAAAAGAGAAAGAAAAATACCAGTATCGCAAAAGGATATACAGTCAAAACCTTTAATCGCATTGTAAATCTTCCTTTTTACGAACATTGTGTCTGATCCATGTGTCGCTTTGACACATATGATGCGATTAACTTGTAGGATAAACAATGTGCACATTCATAATTTCAGTTGTGCGAGATTCTCACAGATTGAGAGAATTAATGTATGCAATAATGGATGCATTTATGCAGTTTTGTGCAAGCTCTTAGTAATTGTTCTTCAGAAGCAATGTAAAACT